GAGTGTCACGAAAACGATACCAGGAATTCGGGTTGCGGGTTCCCTACTGCTGGTGGTGGTGGTGGTGGTGGTAGCTCTGAGAAATCCGGAAACGGACCCGGAAATCAGGGTGCGACAACTGCTGCTGCTGGGTTCCTTCCGCGGGACGATTTCCCACTTCTCGATATCGGCAGAAACGAACGCGTCGTGCATTTCGTTTCGGGTTCGGGTGGTTCGGCAAAGAGTAATTCGCGTGCCGATTTCGACGGCGTCTATTACACTACCGATTGCGGGCTTTCGTTCTTCAAAGACACCATGTGTGAGTATTATCAGGGATTATCAGAGTATTATCAGTGTTTTCTTTCGCATGAATAAAAGAAATAAGATTATAACACTAGAATAAATAAGACAAACGAACCAGTTCACAACAAAACTCCCGGCGGAAAAAAAAAAAATTATGCAAAAAATGCTTTCAGAAAGGCAATGATTTCAATACAGGTGGTACTTTTCAATTTGACCATCCCATAATTCATCCGACCCACAATTTGATGGTCAAATTTTCTGAGATAGGTTAACTCGCAATTTGACCTCTGCCCCAAAGTTCAACCAGAAAAGGACGCAAAATGTTAAATACGATATAGAAAATATTTAATTTGATATATTGCCTTGCAATTCGAATGCTTCACTAGTTGACACTAGTCTAGCCACGGATTATAGCAGGGTATTTTTCAACCTGCATTTTACAATTTAAATTTTGCTTCTTATACTGTACTTTTATCTTGGAAGGGGAGCCCACTTTTTTTGGAAAATTCTTGATTTGAAAGCAGGAAATTGAAAGGACTGAATATGAAAAGGTCCAACGGATCATTTTTGATACAAAACCCTGGCAGAAAATCCCGAGGGTCAAAATGGGTCCCACTTTCGCCCGATTTATTCCCGCGTTTTACTGACACGATTTTATATCTGGCTTGCTAAAGTTACTTCATTTCAGCTCGAAATATGTTCAAGAATGGATATCTATATATGGATATATATGGATTCAAGAATGAATTATAAAAGTGATTGAGCGAATTAATCGAGTTTTTTCTTCTATTTATTACAGCGATAAAAGCAGCTGTTCTGATTCAAAGCTGGTTCCGAAGATGCAGAGCGAAGCTGGAATTGAAGCGTCGGTGCGCTTGGCAAATTTTCCAAACCTTGGAATACGCTGGGGAACATGATCAGCTCAAGGTATGTTTCACAAATGCATCATCAAAGATCCTCATCAAATATTCTCTCTAAATTGTTTGTTCAACTAAACCTCATACAGAAACAAGCTGAAGACCTTGTGATTTAAATTAATTGTTACTGAAATTTTGTTTTCAATGTCAGGGAAGGAATGGGTGTATGCATACATGTCAGATGTCCAGTTGTATTTTGTGTTGTAATGTATTTTCTTTTATTTTTGTTACCCATTTGTGCTCATTCCTGCTCTGAATTGATTAAATGTCTTTGAGTTGATTCGGTTTGGGTGAGGAGGGGGTTTGGATGTGGAAAACTTGATTGAACCTTGTGAACGCTGAAAAGCAGCAAATAAAGTGTTCTGTTTGTTCATTCAATCAAATGCATCAACAAATTTAATAAATGAATGAAAAAATGGAAGGACTGACAATTTTTGGAAGTCATTTGTTTCTTGCATCTCAGTGTATTTCATTCCTGATTCGCAGTTGCACGAGTTCTTCTCTGCTTTGCTGGAAAATGCGGCGGAGTTCAAGTCTAGAAAAGAACAGCAACACGGAGACGATTGTGACGAAGAATCACGCGATGCTAATGGTAAGTTTAATTATTGTAATTTGTAAGCCTAATCAGCACGAACTGATTTCTCCAGTATTTCGAAGTCCTCTGCTTCATTTTTACGGGGAATGGCAACGCCAAAGCTTTTATATTCGGATGAGCTCTTTTCTCATTGCAAAATGTACCATGACTTCTTTCTGCCATTTTATGGAACCTGGTTTATAAATTCTTTGCTTAATTATAATTCCGACAAAAATATATGCACAAAGACTAGTATTTCGTGAATCAAAATGTATGCGTTAATTTTTGAAAGGTCACTTGTCTAATGTTTGCAACGTTTTCCTGATGTATAATGCCGGAAAAGAGCAAATTTCTGTGTTTATATTTTCCAGTGAAATTTTGCTATCGAACTCTTTCTTAAAATGTTAATTTAGAAATATAACGTGATACAAAAAGGCATTTATTTTATTTTATGAAGGATTTCCTGCTGAAGATAATTAATGAATAGATGACTCGTATTTTTAATAGCGTATGAAAGTCTAAATGTTGTGATGGATAAACATTTTACAAATCAGAAAATAAGGTAGAAACATTTCTCTGCGACGTTTCGCGTGTTTTGAACCCGGAAATCTCTGGAAAGCATCTGCGATAAATTTTGAATCGGCCATGGAAGAAATAAAATTTATTCTGGAACGATAAATTATAATCGATATATTTCATTCCTTCATAAGCCAATGCTGGATTACATTTTTCAATCTCAAATGATTTAACCCAGAATATTCCTGCCCAATTTCCAAAACTCGTCCATCACTATTTCAAGGAAAATTTCCGACAAATTTCTGCAAAAATGAATGAACAATTAGGCCCAAGAAAAGGACGATTTTGAAGTTATCTGAAATATATACTTTATTGGTATAATTTCACCTCTGCAAAATTTAGGAAACTAGAAATTGAGGCAGCTGAACCGCATTTACTCACAAAAAATGCTTTTCTTCATTTAAATGTGACTGAACAAAATTTCAAGCAATGATCAGCTAATAATTACGCAGTAAGGATAATTTTCTTCTCTACTAATCCGACAATACTTCAAGAAGTGATTCGGAAAACTGAGCAAACTTTTGGTCCAACCCACATTTATTTCGAAAATTCCATTTCCAAGGCACGCGGGAAATTATGTGTTTTTTTCCTTCATCGTCTTCGAAAACCGATTGAAGGAACAGAGAAAGATTACTTTGTCGCATGTTTCACGGGAAAAGCACTCGAAACCACCAGATTGAGCGACTGAGTTTCAAAATGCTTTGTTCCACCCGAAAAAGCCATGCGATCGGATAAAGTTGATCACCCGTTATATACGAGGGGTCTAACAAAAGTTCTGGTGATATAAATTGAAACGGTACATGATTGAGCTGAAAAGTAATGATTGTTCATTGGAAAAATTATTCGGCAAAAAAAATCAAGCTCTCTTCAACGTATTTTCAAAATTTTTGTCGTTAAAAAAGTCACTCCAGAAATGTTGTGCCCTTCACTGAAAAGACGAGGCGCCCATCTTCCAAAATTTTTTTCAGAGGAGGCCAGTTTGTTTTCCAGAATTTTTGAAATCGACCTGGCATTAATTCCAAGGGTTGCCTTTAATAAAGTCTTTCAAGGTGGTTCCGCCATTTTCATCAACAGCCGCCTTCACAGCCACAACATTCGCATTCCAATTGGCGGCTTTGATGAAATTGGCGGAATTAATGATCAAGTAATGGCGGCGACTCTCGGAATTAATGCCACGTCAATTTCAAGAATTCCGAAGGGAAAGCTGGGGTATGCACAAGAAAATCTGCGAAATGGGCTCCGCTTCTTTTGAGTGGAGAATAAAAAAAAAAGCTAACCGAGTGATTTTGCAAAAATTGTCTGAAAAATTTGTCACGCAGGGCTGAATTTTTTCTTGCGCCAAAGAATTTTTTCTCTGAACAATAATTGTTTCTTTAGCTCAATCTTGAACCATTTCAATGGATATTCCAAAAATATTTGTCAGACCCCCGGTTTACGTGCTAGAAGGGATGAGTACAGGTGGTACCTCACAATTTTACCAATTTGCAATTTGACCCTAGTTTGGCAATGGATTCTTTACCTTGAAATTTTACCTCCCGCAATAATTCAATGGTCAAAATTGCAAGGAGGTTGACTTGCAATTTGACCCTTGCCCCGCAATTTAACCTGATTTTTCCATTTTTTGGCATTTTTGCTTTTGCACAATTTGACCCTAGTTTGGCAATGGGTTAGGGTCAAATTGCAAGAAACTCCATCTAATTAAAAATAGAATTACAAAAATGCAAAAAATGGAAAAAGCAGGTCAAATTGCAGGGCAAGGCACCAATTTGCAATTTGACCCTAGGTTGCCAATGGATTAAGATCAAATTGCAAGACACTCCATCAGCCGAATGGATTAGGATAAGGCGATGGATTTGGCAATCCATTGGCAAACTAAGGTCAAATTGCGAGGCACTCCATTTAATTTAAAATAGAAGTTTTAAAAAATGCGGAAAAAATGGAAAAATTGTTTAAATTGCGGGGCAAGGGTCAAATTGCAAGTCAACCTCCCTGCAAATTTGACCATCGAATTGCGGGAGGTCAAATTGCAAGGTATATACTGCTTTTTGCCCTTCTGAAATCTGGTTTATTATTTCAGCTCACCAAACTGCATGTTTTTAATTTTATTTTCGGAGGTGGGGTTCAAAAATGATAAAAATCCCATCGATTTTCTAGACGGAACGAATAAGGAGCAGTCGACGGAGACTAGAAAGGGATCAATGCTGATCCCAGGAGATATCGCGTCGATGACGGTGGAGGAGGACTATGACGGACCCCGGATATCCTTTCCGATGACGCAAGAGGACCTGGATGCCCTGATTCTCGCATTCAAACAGGGCAAGGTGAGGAAAAAAAAACCAGGGTGCCGCAACGATCCAACCAGCTTTCATCCATATATGGAGGGTTTATTTTCATTTTATTTTTTTATATATTTTTTTTTTACGTCAGTCATGACCCGCGTGATTCCATACTTTCATTTGCCATTTCATTCCCCTAGTTTTTTCAGGGGTGGCCTGGGGAAATATGGACTTATTTTTTAAGCATTGGGTGGCAACTTTAACGGTGCAATTGCAAAATTATGCCAGTGCAAAAGTCTAACTGTGTCAGAGGGGAAAAGCCTGGACATTTTCGATGGTGGATTGTTTTCTCCTGGACAGAAATATTTTGGCGGAAGAACGCTTTTTTCTACACGATAAAATTGTTCTTCCGCATTTCGTCCACAGAATTCAGAAGGTTAGGAAACCATGAGAATTTCCTCTTCGGCCTGTTTTGCAAAATCCTGTTGCAAAAATGTTCGTAGTTTCCTGCTTTTTTCGCACATGTAGGGATGTAAAAGACAACATCGTCTGATTTTTTTTCCTGTATTGCTAATGAGTCCTAAAAATGTACTGAGGTATTTCTTTGAAACTTTTTTCCTTGCCCACCCTCTACAAATGTACACATGCTTAATCTCGGCCCCGATTCTCCTGATATCTGAGAACTTCTGAACCAATGGCTTTTCTGGAAACTCGTGGTCATCACATGATTTCTTTGAATCCGCGTAGTTTCTTGAGAACGTATGAATCATAGTTTTGAAGACAGAAAAAATGTTAGAATCATATTGCAAGAGAAATGATCATCAGGATGCATGGATAACTATATAACTAGATATATGGATGCATAACTATACTACATTAATGTACTGTAGATGTAATTCACATTAGGAGCAAGGGTGAACGAGCATTTCAATCTTTTTCTTTCAAGTACATATACATCTTGAAAACGAAGACTTGAAATTTTATTTCGATGAGATACAGTAGAATACGCTTTAAATTCATATTCTGTGTTTTGAAGTGATGAGTGTTTTTCCATTCAGATGTTTGTCATTGAATTCATCACATTCGGATTTTTTTATATTTTATCGGAATTCGTGAAGCACACATTCACATGTTTTTCGAGTAAAAACAAAAACCCTAAAAACAAATTACTGTATTTTACTTGTAATTATTCAAGTGAACATACCGCAAAGTTTTAACGGAAGTATATTTGACGGCTTTTATTCGCAGTAAAACATGTATCATTCGGCACTGCATTATAGACAACCGAATGATCACTTGGGAAAGCTCAAATTTGCATATCATGTAAAACGGGTTGCTCATGCACGAATGACGTAAAGTAAAATTAAATTTAAAATACAGTACATGTCTACAATAAAGAGAGGCTGTCGAACTCCCATCGATATTCAAGTTCAACAAATATTTACAGCCATAAGACATCTTTTCAAGTGATGCCAGCGATTCAACTGCAACAAGTGCGAAATCTCCGGTGGATAATTCATAAATTTGTCGAAAAATTTTGCCAATATGTTCAATCACCTTTCGGCAGTATTTTAAATGTCTATAAAAAGACGGTTGAAATATTTTATTTGATAGAAGTTGCGCTTGCCAGAAGTAGGCAAAACATTCTTTGCCTAGTCCAAAAATAACCCTTCACGATGTCAGCGTGAAAACTGCAGGAAGTCTTTGGGAAATATTCGCGTTGGTTTCCGCCCAGCATGGTGTCCAGAATTTCCGGAAATGTATTCCTCCTTTTTCTTCCGGTGCGTGACGTCCGAACAAAGGACGCAGAAAAAGGATCAGAGACAAACTACGGTCAACCCCTGTTAAGACGACTGACGACCCCTGAAAAGCCGCCACCAACTTTATTTTGAAAAAAGAAAAATCTTCCTTAATGAACCCCGTTAAAATGCCATCCGCCAAAATCATTAACTCAAATATGCTCTTGCTAATTAATTTTTTTCTTGATCGCCCGCCAACAATATTCAAGTCTATGCAAAATGTCTCCTATTGAGAAAAGCACAAATGCAGAACTCACACTTCTTGTGAAAATTAGCTGGATATAGTTTATGCATCCCAGGGCTATTTTGATCGTTTTCTAAAAGAATAACCATTTTTCCTCTATATTACAGTTGAACCTCAATAACTTTAACCTCTCTAAGTTGAACCCCTCTCTGAAGTCCCTGTCAAAGCAATGCATTACAAACCTCCCTAACTCATTCTTGAAAACGAATTTCCAAGTTGGGGAGGTTTTTAATGTATTGATTCTAAGGGGATTCAGACAGGGACTTGGAAAAAAATTCGACTTCCGGAGGTTCCACTTATCAAGGTTCACCTGTATTTGATAAACAGCTAACCCTTGTTAAGCCACCACAAACATCACAAAAACAAATATTTCCGGCTTATCCAGTTTTGACTGTAAACATTGCGGATTAAAGAAATAAATAAAAAAAGATGCACAGTGTGCATGTATATAGGGACTGGGACACTTGTCTCCTGCCTACTTTCACCCACACTTTGGGTATTGACACATGGTATATATGTAAGGGAAGTGCGAGGTCAGCGGCTGTCGGAAGCCCGGGACGCGGCAATAACGCGCCAGCGATTTTTGTTTGATCGAATGGTCGGAAATTTTCCCATGTCCTCGCTCGCGGCTCTCTCAACCTTTTTCCCCCCACTGCTGCTGCCATGTACAGTAATATTGCTCCCCCCCCCCTGCTTGTCAGTCCAGCAATCATTCCGGAACTCTGCCAAAAGTTTCTCAGGGCTTTCTCCATTTTTTTCTCAGATTATTTTTCATTCCTTGATTTGTATTTCGGTTGAGATCAAGTTGAGCTTTCCGTGACGGAAGATAACTTCCGCCTTTTTCAGGCTCAGCGGAATCTTATCATCACACATTGGCGATGAAAAAAAACATTTCTTATTGATGATCGGTCCTCCTACTGTATTTATGCAAGGGGATTCCATTTTAAGTAACGAATGATTCCATACAAAAACCAAATTTGTCGAAGGTTCCGACGGAAACACCACGAACTCAATGCCGCAAAAATTGCATTGCAACGAAAGTTTTCCTTTTATTTTCTTGAAAATTATATGAATGCTTGAGTTTTGATTACAATTTTCTGTCTGCATTGGAAGAAAATGATTCTGGAGCAAGATAAACTATTCTGCTCACAGTGTTGCAAAAGAACATCACTCAAAATCATAGTGTATTTCTAGAAGAATTTATGGTAGATGATTTTATTTTCCTCGCGAAAATTGGCGTCCGGAAATCAGCTGGAAAACTTTTTTATTTTGTTCAATACTGCCTGGGCATGTACAAAAAGTAAAGGATTTGGTGATAATAATTTCTGATTTGATCATTTCTTCGGACGTCAACAATAAAAGTTTCAGATAAGACACAGTTTTCTTGGGTTTCCTTAAAAATTTTGGAACGAGATTTCTCCCTAGATAAATTATCTGGTGATCATCATCATGTATTTTAAAGGTCGCAGGCGTGCTTCTAAAATCAAGTAAGGTCATTCTCGATTTTATTCACGCGTCGAATAAATGTTATTGCTCCCCCCCCCCTGCTTGTCAGTCCAGCAATCATTCCGGAACTCTGCCAAAAGTTTCTCAGGGCTTTCTCCATTTTTTTCTCAGATTATTTTTCATTCCTTGATTTGTATTTCGGTTGAGATGAAGTTGAGCTTTCCGTGACGGAAGAAAACTTCCGCCTTTTTCAGGCTCACCGGAATCTTATCATCACACACTACTGGTGATGAAAAAACATTTCTTATTGATGATAGGTCCTACTGTATTTATGCAAGGGGATTCCATTTTAAGTAACGAATGATTCCATACAAAAACCAAATTTGTCGAAGGTTCCGACGGAAACACCACGAACTCAAAGCCGCGAAAATTGCATTGCAAGGAAAGTTTTCCTTTTATTTTCTTGGAAATTATAAGAATGCTTGAGTTTTGATTACAATTTTCTGTCTGCATTGGAAGAAAATGATTCTGGAGCAAGATAAACTATTCTGCTCACAGTGTTGCAAAAGAACATCACTCAAAATCAAAGTGTATTTCTAGAAGAATTTATGGTAGATGATTTTATTTTCCTCGCGAAAATTGGCGTCCGGAAATCAGCTGGAATACTTTTCTATTTTATTTTGTTCAATACTGCCTGGGCATGTACAAAAAGAAAAGGATTTGGTGATGATAATTTCTGATTTGATAATTTTTTTTATTTCTTCGGACGTCTGCAATAAAAGTTTCAGATAAGACACAGTTTTCTTGAGTTCCTTAAACATTTTGGAACGAGATTTCTCCCTAGATAAATTATCTGGTGATCATCATCATGTATTTTAAAGGTCGCAGGCGTGCTTCTAAAATCAAGTAAGGTCATTCTCGATTTTATTCACGCGTCGAATAAATGGCGATTTTTTACAATATAGAACAGTATTTTGGAAAACACGGAGGCAATCGCATTTTCGTGCAGTTTTATTTGGTTTTCCTGCATTTAATAGCTGTGGAGTTTTAAAATCAATGTTTTAAAAAGACATAAAATTGAACAAAACGGACTCCAAAGTTGACAATCGAATATTTTCTCCCTCGTTACTGAATTTGCTGTATACGATTGCCAAATGGCGCGAAAGTTGGTGACAGGACCCTCTCCGCATTAATTCGCACCCCCTTTGCATTTTTGAATAATCAATGACGGCATCTTTTTCCCTGGCACGGAATGCATTTTTAGAATTCCCCACGAGACAGGAAATGATCGCCATCTCGCTGCTATTTTCGGAGGACCGTCCGGAAACGCAGAGAAGGATAATCTCGTGAGCGGAAAATTGACTCGCGTGCTTCGCAAAATACCTGGAATGACGTCGCTTTCCAGTCTCTTTTTTTTTGCTGTTGTTGTTATTATAGGTTTGTTCTCCATTTGGTGGCCCCAGGACACAACGTTTTCTGTTCCGTACCGTGGTCTCTAAAAGAAGGAGAAATTGCTCATGTGGGTCCCTTGGAGAATAACGCTTTGATCATTGGCCCATGGGGGTTGTGTGATACCTATACAGTATATCCGAAAATCTTGTCTGGATTCCTTACTGGAGCCATGAAAGTTCATTGACTGCATCAAGGTCTGACAAATATTGAATATGAAGCAACAGCATTGCTCAAAAATGTAAATGTTTATTTTTTCTTTTTGATACATGTTTACAATTTTTAAAGTTTGTTATCCTAAACTGTCAAAGATTGACCAAATTTAAAGCATAATACATTGAATGTCTCCTTTGCTTTTACTCCTTCTAATTGCTTTGATGATTACTTGTCAAGATAAACAAAGATGAGAAGTATTAATCTTATAGCCGGGGTTGCGCAAAATAAGTTTACTACTCAATCCAAGAATGTGAAGGTGTGTTTAACCCTTGGGCAGCAGAGGGTTCATTTCCATTGTGCGGCAAAGTCAGGATATTCTTGGGGGATGGAGCATTTCAGTTTGACCCAAGGTTGCTGAAATGCTCTTAGGTTGAGAGGTTGGGAAAAATCTGGGAGACAACTTCTCTTTTGTTTTCAGGAATCTTCGATGCTGATCGTATGCCAGGAATGCAGGAAAAAATGCCAACCTATGAGGGATTTTTTAAAATTTTTCATCCACAATTTTCTGCTGGATTAGAAAAAAATGCTGGACCTTTTCCCAACTTAGGCTATTGTAGAAACATTGCAATTTTTTAATTCCCAGTTCTCAGTAACACAAAATTTTGCGAATATATCCTGACTTTGCCGCCCAAGGGTTGATATACAGTAGTTGAGGTTCAGTTTGTCACGGTTGTGTCTGGTTTGGTCGTTACTCGTGTCTTTCTCACAAACCTGTGAAGAAGTACTTAACAGGTCCACGTGTTCTGTCCATGTACTGGTGCGTATCTTAGTCTTTGAAAGTAAACTGGGAAGGTCATGAGTTAATGACTGGTGACCAAACAATGGGAATGGTGCAATATAATGATTCCAGTGGTTACCACGCAGAACCATGAAACAAGAAAGCCAAATCAAGAATGGGGTATTCTTGGCATGTTTGAGGACAAATTTAATTATATGATGACAAGTTTCTATCTACACTCCTTCAGAATTCCTGCAGAAATGTGTTTTTTCTTTATGATTTCATACTGCATCTAGTTTAAGATTTTTGAGAGATTGCTGGATGATATTCGTCACCAAAGAAATATGAATGAAACAAAAATGTAAAAAAATTCTTGGATCCAAGACCTTTCAATCACCTCGCCGTAAACTAAAAATTGAAAAAGTCCACTTGTTTTCTTTAATTAGGAAAAGTATGTGATATATTGCATTCACTGAATCAGTTCGGCCGATTTTAATGCGACACATTTTGGAAAACCGGCAATTCACGTTTTTAATTGGGAGTCCCTTTTCCCGATTAAATGGATGTGAAACGGATTTCGGAGTTCTGAAGTCAACTTCCGATTTCCTGCTCAAAAATTGTAACAAAAAACATTTCCCATCTGCTCATTAAACTTCAGGTCATTTTTTCAGATAAAACATAAATTTCAACGCAAAGCTCACCAACTATGTTCGACAAAAAACATAAAAAATATATTCCTAACTCGAATTTCTGGATTTAAAAAGAATTGGATAATCTCTGTCAAATATAGGAGAAAAATACCAAGGGAATGGGCACTCTAGTCGACCCACGGCGTTTATATAGGTCATGCATGAAACAAGCTTCCGGGTTTCCGCGACGCGTTACATCCTTCCGGCTTGGGTTGCGTGTGTGTCTACCTTGCCCGGAACTTCCGACTTTTTTTTTCTCTCTCTTGAGTCTCTTCACTATATGCACAAAACCGCGAACCAGGTGTATATAAGCACAGCAGCATGACAACTGAGGTAACTGACGGGAAGACAATTATTCCGAAAACCCGTCAGACTTTCTGACACGCGTGCGGAATCGTCAAAAATAAAAATAAAAATAAAATGAGATCTTCAATAATGCAAGCTGTTGACTTTTGGCTTGCCAAAAAAATGACGCAATAATTCCATTTAAAAAATGTATGCATGTATTTACGTCAAAGTAATTCTTCCCTTTTCGCTGTTGAACTATACAATATGCTCAATGCTCAAGAACATAAATTATATCCTCATGGGCTTTGTTCGTCCTTCCCCAAAATATTCCACGTCGCGAGAAACAAAAGTCATTTAATTCATGGCAACCCGAAGAAATGCCAACCTTTCCTTCGCAGAAAGCGTGATAAGCCACTATCGAAAACCCTATATAACCCAAGCTTTTCATGTTGTATTTTCGGCTGACTTATTGTCGTCACGAAACCATGAAGACGGGATTTCATTGCCGAGCAACGGGGAAATCTTCATGATCGGATGGATGCGTGGTTGGCGTGTGTGTGGGTCATTGTGCTGATGTTTCTCGTTTTTTTGTTGTTGGGTCCAACAGAGACCACATGTGCAATACGTGTGCACGATGATCGTGGAAGCAGTGGAAGTGCTGAGGAAGCAGCCGACTCTGAGAGCCATGTCCACGAGGAGGTCAAGACAGGTCACCATTTGCGGGGACATCCATGGGCAGCTTGATGACCTGCTCACCATCTTTCAAAAGGTTGAATTGCCAGGACACTACAGGAACAATTTAATAGGAGAAAATGGGATGGACGTACTACACAAGGATATATATACGTTCTCTCTTTATACTCTGGATATGAATAAGACTGTGACGACACTTAAAGTCGACAATAACCCGACAAAAGGCCTCAATATAATTTGATGTCAAGTGTCTATTTGATGAACAATAAAACATGTTGATCAGTCCGGGACAGGAACAGGAAATCCTTTTGGGAATTCCTACGTTAAAGGGATAAACTGTATTTCACACAAGTATAAACAAATAAACAACTCAATGAGCTCAACTTGCAGGAATAAGCTTGAGAATAACTTGAATAACACAGTTGAACTGAACTGATCTAATAATATTAAGAGAAGCACTGCTTATATATGACAAATAATAATTAACCTTCACAAGGTTTTACTTTACAATCAGAATAGAAAATGTTATTGTTGAGGATGCTGTGGTGCCAGGATGTTTCTGGCACTGCAATTTTGAGGAGGGGAAATACTTTTACTTCTAGGAATTATTTTAGAGTACGTTACTGTACACAGCCATGCCCAACAGCTGTTTTTGTAAAGGAATACCTTCTCAACTTCCAAATAAAAAAGGTATTGCCTGTGTTACTATGCTTTGGGCAAACATTCTGTGCCTATGCGAAGAAGCTATTTAATAAATAAAAGAAAAATGAAAAAAGTAAACTCATGCAGCGTTCCAACTTCATCAAAGAAGCAACACTTTATGCAGAGAAAATTTAGTGGTAAAACACACAACCTGGGATATTTTTTGGAAATTCTTCAGGAGCATTTCAGAATGTACGCCTTTCTTTCAAATTGATAGTAGGAATAATTGCATTCCAGAATGCAATTTTATTACCCAGTGCTCACGAAATGCCAGTTAAAAAGGCGTTGAAAAGAATGAATCATGATACAACAATGTTTTTTTATAACAAGTTTTATGTTTGATCCCAGGGAATTCATTGGAACGAGATTTTACTGTATTACAAGGGATTTCATCATTTTTGACATCTAAGCCATGTTATTTTGAAATGTTCAATAGTTTTTTTTAGCTAATCGTCGTTTCCAGACGGTCTGAATATGCGATGATCTGAAAGCGTTAAGTAAATCCTGCTAAAAAATGATTAAATTTTAATCATTTTAAAAGGAATAAAAATTGATATCTTCGTCAACTTTTCCTTGATTTACAACAATTATTTCTTCTTGCAAACGACTCTTATTTCAGTTCTTCTGTGAATACTTCAGGATTTAGGTTTCTGGAAAATGCCTGCCATTTAAAATATTTTGAGCGCAACAGTTCGAATTGTAATGTTTAAAATTCGTTGCTCTTTTCAGAGAAAAATGAAGCTTGTCTATTTTCTGAGGCCAGGTTTTTTTTTAGAGAGATTATAATGAATTTACGCTGATTGTGTTTAGGCAAATGAGACTTCTGCTAAATAATTGGTTATCCCAGCAGAAAGCAGAATTTTGCACAAAAAATATCTCGTTAGCAATTTTTTTTCGAACCCACGTCGAAAATCTTTGTGCAAATTTCATCGCATTTAAGTTTGTGCTGAAATGAAGAGTTTTATCGAATCAGTTTTCATTTTAACTCCATGTAACATACTTTTCAAGCTATAATCTACTTTCCAAGCACGAAACAATCTTTTGAATTCAAAATATGTTTCGGTTTTGTTTGTGCAAAAAAAAAAAAGAATGGAATGCCGTCAGAACAGAATCCCTACATTTTCAACGGGGATTTCGTGGATCGGGGTCCTTATTCATTGGAAGTGCTGTTGCTGTTGTTGGCTTGCGTCGCTGTGCATCCTGATCACGTTTTCCTCAACAGGGGCAATCACGAAGATCTGGTGATGAATGCGAGGTCAGTGTTCGTGTTTCAGCTCTTACAAAGTTTGATACATGTGTTTCCTACTCCCAAAAAAAATTTAAAAATGAAATAAAACCTGATTCTGTGCGACGCATATTTTTTTTTTGACGGGAGAGTTATTTTAATTTTTCCGCGCCTCGATTTTCAGGTACGGATTCTTGCAGGAAATCCATGCCAAGTTCAGGGTGAGTTACAATGTTCGACGTTGAATTGCTTTTTCCTGTCAATGAAGGATTTTTTCATGGTGATTTTTAGAATCATGCGACGACTGTTTTGAAATTTGTGGAAGAAGCGTATCGTTGGCTTCCGCTCGGAACAATTATTGACGGGAAAATAATCGTTGTTCATGGAGGAATTTCCGACTCGACCGACTTGAAGAGAATCAATTCTCTCTCTAGAGAAAAGGTAATTTTCGATTCATGCACATAAATTGCTAATTATCCTCAACGACGTTGTTCCTGCCTTCAATATTCCACGCGATCATTCAACGTTCCACTCATCATTTCCTGTATACTATATATTTTTCCTCGATGCTAATTTTTTCGAGGTTAAGCGGTTTTTATCGATAAATGGAACGTCTTAATTTGCGATGGATTCAATTTTAGCTGAATTTCGACATTAATTAGCTTTTGAAATAATATTGGGAAATTTCGAAGAGCTGCAGTTTCTTATATTTCATTTACCAATCGAAAATATATTTAATTATATTAAAAAAATGTTTGGGTTTTGTTCAGTTTGACGGTCAAAAATATTTTTCAAACCGAAAAGAATGCCAAATGTATTGATCCTTAATATTTTTCAGCATCTGGTTTGAGAGCATGGGGAAACAGCTATTATTAGTTCGAAAGTGTTTTCGTTTTGCTGTCGATTTCTTGAATTTTGACAAAATTGAAGCTTGCAATTTTGCGCATTTGCCTCTCGGTATATTCGCAGTATGCGTCGATTTTACGACCTCCTGTTCCGGTTCCGACGAGTGCTCAACCTCGACACCGACGATCAGCAGGTTTCCTTGTCGACAGCTACGAATGGCGTTTGGTATGAAAAGCCCATTCGATTTCTGGTTATCTTTTTGTATGCGTGAGATTATTCGAGTCTCTTTAAATTTAGATTTAATAACCGGATCCCATGGAATTAATGTGAAAATTTCCGAAACCAGGATTGTCAGTCATAACAAATATCCACGTTTTTGTGAACTTTAAAAACACAGTATCTCAAGTCCACCATGTTTTAACGAGCCTTCGAAATATATGCAGTTAATGTATTCCAATCAGATTACACGAATGATTTAACCTACTGATGAAAATTATCAGAAAGGCGTTATTCGTGGATCATGGGTGAGTTATATCAGGAAATCTCTGCATATCTGATCTTGAGGAGCATTAGTAAGACTGAAGAACAAAAAAGTCCTCCTGTTTTTTATTAGATGGACACTTGAAATAAAACCCAGGTCACTTCTGAAGCCAGGCTAATCCGTTTTTCGAAGGTTATACAGCTTGAAAACATAAAAAAGAATCAGATTTGGTGGAAAATGCTTAACAAGCATAGCATTACCCGACCACAAGGGAAAAAAAACCATGGTTCGAAAAAATTCCCATTTCTGATTACACGAAAGGACTAAAAAAAAGAGGAGAAAAAATACCGTGAGGGTTCATGAAATATTCATTCTCACAAACGGGGATTAAAGAACACGTTTTGATCAACTTGTTATTGTTCCAATGGCGGTGAAGCTTTGTCTTGAAAGCTTCCTGAAAGTGAACGTTCTTTATTCTAGTCCACCGGCTTCAAAAACGTAATTTTTCATCATATGCTGAGTTTCTTCTCGCAAATTTCGTAAGGCGTAACTCTTTTATTTTTTAGGGACATTCATAAGAAGGAAATTTGAAAGTATATCTCGAAATAAAATTCGATTATTCGAGGAGGGAGAATGAATTATGCATGAAACTAGATTTTAAAAATGCAGTAATTGCATGGGTTTTGATAAAAATAACGTGATGGGTTTTCAATACAGTGCATTCATTAATTATATGGCCTGAAATCGCCTTCTGGAATTGACTTATCAAATAAAAAAAACTAAATAATTGCAAGCGACACCTATGTGAAAGTAAATTGATATCGTTAAAATGGTTCGGCATTGACGAGGTAGAATAACTAAAGACAATTTGGAATCGAGAATATTGCCTTGAATATTGACAATTTTTTGAATAAAAATGTGTTTTGTTTCCTCCCTTTGCTGATATCAAAACATTACCATATGTTATTTCACTCTGTAAACAAATAAATGTTGTACACAGTATATGCACAACCTAAACGACGCCTTAAAATGACAGAAAATACGAGGTATACATATGTGATAAGCCAAAAAATACATATTGTTTCACGAGACTCCTATTCGCTGAAATGAATCGATAAATGACGACATCAGGATTCAAAATACGGGCACCAGAAAACACGAGTGACACCTATGCGGTATCAGAAGAAGTATACCTTGTATCAAGGGACTTTCCGCTGGCTAGATGCCATGAGCAAAGCAATGAATATTCGCCGAAAATTGTCCGCAGTTCCCTCTGAAGCAGTATTCCTATGAATAACACTATGTATAAATGAACGGAGACAGTATTCTCTGATGATGATCGATTGCAATCGAAGCCAAAACGTATTATTTACTCTTCTTCAATAATTTGCTTTCGGGTGAAACCATTACTCATCAGGTGATGGACCTGCTGTGGAGCGACCCGAAGCGCAGGGAAGGTTGTGGACCCAACGAGTACCGGGGCGGCGGGTCCTATTTCGGGCCTGACGTCACCACTGCGATCCTCGACAGATACGGACTACGACTCCTCATTCGCTCCCACGAGTGCAAGCCTAACGGATATGCCTTCTGTCACGAAGACAGGGTGAGAACCTCGTCATCTCTGTCTTTCTCGCTGTTTTTATTATTCTTTTTTTTCGAATATGCATATCATGGGCTAAGAATAAAATGTTGTACAAGGGATATCTGAGCTTCGAACACAGCTGATTTGACCATCTTATTGATTCTGTGTGGGTTTCGGAATCTCCGGATTATGATATTACCGCAGACTTCCAATTAAAGAAATTTTCGAATATTGTACCACGATACAGTACTTCACATCTTCGAATCAATGATGGGAAAACATGCTTCACAGAATAATCTTTAAATATCTTCGGCGGGAATGTCCTGATGTAAGAATTAAGAAGGAGACGATTCAAAGTTCGACGAAGTCTTGAATCGCGAACACATATTTCTTTTCGGAATTGAAAATAAAAATGCAGTACCTCAAAAGTAAATATAATGAGAGAGAGAGAGAGAGAGAGAGAGAGAGAGATCATGCTGTTGAGAAGAAGCATTTACCGTAATTTGCGCCAAAAGTATTAAGTTGAATTCACTGATCATCGATTGAAGAATAATGAGAGACTTCATCAACAATCAGTAGTTCTCCGAATTTTTTTTTTTAATTGCGGACTTCAAACCAGAATAAATAGTTAATAATAAATAGTTGATAGTTAATAGCAAATAATAGTTTCAAACGTTACGATTACATTTTTTAAAGGCATACAAGGGGATAAATTCAAAGACATGCTTGAAAATTATCGTTCAAGTAAGTTAAATCGTAAATTTTTCCTAAAAAAAATCAAGACCTTTCATCATTCTCGGAATCCAACCCGAAATACAGTATCTCATATTTCTTAAAGGTCTCACAAAATGCGAACTATAAATATGTTATACGTTTTTCTCTAGTGTTTGACAGTATTTTCAGCATCGAACTACTACGAGATCGGATCCAACAAAGGAGCATACGTACAACTTCTGGGGTCTCATCTCCGACCCCGATTTTTCCAGTTTTCTGTTTCGACCTCACTCATCAATGTCGACCCAACTTCGACACTGACGTCAAATTCTCTGCTGCCTGACAGTATTCACGCCTCTAGACGTGGTATGCGAAGGAATCAAACGGCCACTATGCGACACCAAGTCGGAAAGGTTTGTCAATTTTGAAATTAAATCGTCCGAACGTTTGACAGCTATTTTATCAATTGGAAAATAAAAATATTCAATCAGTCAATATTTTTGATGCACTGCTGGGAAAGATGAATTGATGTGGTTTCAATCACGAATCAGACCAAAATCCTGACAGAAAACTATTCAGATCGAAATAAGGTGTTCATTTCCCACTCTCAAAAGACCAATTATTAAATAATTTTCAAAAACGGAAAAGATAAGGAATATGACTTTGAAAAATACAACGACTGGAATAATGATACTATTGATTGAAGTAATCTTTGAGAAAATGGTGAAGCATATATGACAGAAGGCAATTTCTGAAAAATTAGCAGAGGGAAGCGCTCACTCGTGAAAATGCTTCGACTTTAGCAAAAACGAACAAGATTTGGCATTCTTGAACAAAGGTTTGAAACGTGTGGGTTCATAAAGGACAAAAGACCGATGTACAGTAATTTCAAGAACATAAACACCAATAAAAAAGTTCCATTAATTCGAGTCACTTTCATGAATTCGAGTTTTTCGAACCAGAACAGAAAATATATTATTGCATTGATTTATTGGTCAACTTTAATAATTCCCCTACATATATTCAATAGAAGAGCTAGTAATTACCATTCTTCGAACGATAGTCTCAAGAAGATTTCCAATTGATTCCGTCTAAAACATTTTTCAAAAAGGCCGAAACGTCTGCGATGAAAGAACTTCGTCAGAAAATCCGGGAGCACTCCGCCGAGATAAAGGATTTATGCAACCAATACGACTTTGACAAAACCGGTTTGTTTTGAACGAGAGGAAGAAAAACTGATGTACACACACGGAAAATAATTCAAATTTTTGGAAAACAGGGCGCCTCAACTTGTGTTTGTGGTGCAAAGCCATGGAAAAAGGAACAGGCCTTACACTTCCATGGAGAATGCTGCGACCCAAGTTCGCCCCAGTGGATCAAAATGGGCTAGTGATGTACGAGGTCATGAATTTCGACCAAAACACCAAAGAAACTGGGGTAATTTTCAGAAAATAAATCTGTATATGTCCGTTCGGTAATTTACGCGTTCTTGTGCTTGATTTCGTTTTAGAATCAGGGAGCTGTTGTCGAGTCCGTGATACGAAATCGTTCCAGCTTGGAAACGATCTTCAAAATAATGGACGCGGATAATACAGGTGCGACATCTCCTTATTCTAATATGGAAAGTCAAAGTTGATTCTTTGAAATTCCGCGTGATGTCATCATAAGAGGGTAAAGAAACACGCGTTTTTAGATTTCATTGGACGCCCATCTTTTGGAGTTTTTAAAGGGTGCTAAACAATTATTTGGCGTGCCAAGGAAAGGAATTTCAGTTCTGAGAATCGTGCAACGCTTCGATCGTAAATTGATTTAAAACTTGAAATTTATTTTTCTCATGAATATTTCCAATTTAAATACAGTCGAACCTGTTTATGTCGAACTTCAGGAGACCAGCGAAAAAAAACCGAGTTAACTAAGAGGCTCCGAAATGTGGAAAGGAAACATTTTTGTTGTGGAGAGAAAGAAGCATTCTGGGAAATTGTAATTTATGATATTCTACGCCTCAATTACTTTTAATTACTTTTGAAATGATTTTACAGGATGCTGAAATTGGAGGAAAGGGTTTATTTGCCCAGTTAATATCTTTTTCTCTTACAAAATACATCAAGTTACTTTTTTATTGCTTTTCTCTTTCATTTGCCAATAATATAATAGCCGAAAGGCTTATAGAAAATTTGACCTATGGAGGTTTGAAAAGGAAAACTTTTGACTCAGGGAGGTTTTTAATTCCCCGTTTTTAAGAAAATTCTGAGGAGGACTTGAAAAAGATGTTTGTATAGGGACTTACGAGTTATTCAGGTTCATCTGTGCGGTATATATATATATTTATTTTTTATTTTTTTGCAGGAGAAATCTGCATGGACCAGTTTGGCACCACCTGCGCCCTGCTCAGCGAGTACCTGCCGAACCCGATCTCCCCGGACGCCATGAACAGCCTGGCGAGGTCAATCGACATCAACGGCGACGGGGTCATCACACTCGCCGAATTCCTGGATGCCTTCCAAAAGGTTGACGAGGCCCTGAGTGCGAATCGCAATTCATCGTCGTCGACACCCGGGCCGCCAGCAGCTCCAGACGTCGACAACACGCTGACGGTGGTGCAAGAAGACGTCGAGTCGCAGCCGTCGACGCCGGAGCCCGTGACGGAGCCGTCGAGTCGGAAAAACAGCGGGCCGTCGAGGCGGTCGTCGGAGGCGGCCACGATTGGGCGGAAGACGCCGTCGCCGGCGCCGCCGTCGAGGTCGTCGTCGGGCTCTGCGAGGCGGCGAAGGGAATCCGGTCACCACCGTGTTTGAAGAGGAAAAAAAAAACATTATGAAACCAGCAGACCGACGAATGCTGCCCAATTGGTCTTTCATGCAAAAAATCTGTTACCATCATATGATGTCAAGAGTGTGTGCAAATTATTTGTGGTACTTTGGTGGAATTCAGCAGCAGGGCTCAGCATCATTCGCACACATTCTTTGAAAACTCACTTTTCCAAGAAACAGTCACTTTCCGTCCCATTTTCAGTTTTATATACTGTAGTTATGAAGAAGAAACTTTCTTCTTTTATTCTTCCATCAGCATTTTAATTTTGAGTCCGCTGAATATTGCTTTCAAACCTAGTTCTGCCTTCGTTTTGTAGCACACTTTAACATATTCATTTTATCTGTGACATTCGTCCAACTCAATATCGGAATCAAAAACGAAAAAAGTATGTTTTTGGCTGGTTACGATGAACAATACTGTCAAAACCATAAAAAGCCTTTGTGTTAGCCAAAGTTTAAGTTACTTTTGCACCTTATTTCAACATTTTGTGGACACAATATCAGAATCAAAAATCTTCAACATTCCAGATTTGTTTTTCTTGTAATGCATCGAGATGAAATTTTCATAATCAGGATGCATTTTTTGACAAATAAAATCTTATCCAATATACTGTAAAAGCTTTATTTTACAATCATCTATAGTGAAAGAAACATTTATTTTTTCTCAAGCCTGCGTTTCCCTTGAAAAATTGATCCTGATTTGAGCACAAAAGTAGAAAAACGATTAGAATTTTTGTTTTGTTTTTTTGAAATCAGTACCGAAAAGGACTGCAGAATTTCAAAGCAACACCGTTGTTTGAGAACACCAATCTATATATTTGAAAGCCTAATACAGCTTCCGTGTCAGTCGGTATTAAAGCAAAAGAAAAAATGTCAAGTTACTCAATGGAAAACTTTCCTGTTTACGTCGTGGAAAAAATGAAAAAAGAAAAGCTTGAGCGAACCAGTGCTGCACTCTGTGTCAGAGTTGGCTTCTGTACCTGAAATAAAATCGACGTTGAAATGGAACATCATTATGTGCAAATTTATTCTCAATGAATTTTCTTCCATTTTGGTATCCATATACAGTACAGTATTTACTAGAGTACCATGTGCCCTTGAGTAAGGCGCGCACATGCAGGGGTTTTGCAGTTGGATACCCAAGTAAGACGTGCACCCCAATTTTTAGCAAATCTAGAACCACAAAATTTCAAAAATACATTCAAAAAATTTGACTTCAGACATGGATTGAAGAAAAATCTGATCAATTTTCAACTTTTTCAGTACAAAAGTTTTCTTGTTACATTTGTTCAAAATGTCTCCATTATAATTAAGTACCGTATTTACTTGAGTACCACACGCCCTTGAGCAAGGCTCACAAAAGGGGGTTTTCAGCTGGAAATTTTGCTAAAATCTTATCCCCAAGTAAGACTCTCACCCCAAATTTTAGTGAATCTAAAACCACAAAATTGTGAAAATATAAACAAAAAATTTGACTTTATAGACATGGATTGAACAAAAATCTGATCAATTTTCAACTTTTTCAGTAGAAAAAAAATTTCTTGGTATATTTGTTCCTAATTTCTCCATTATAATCAAGTGTAATTCACACCTAACTTCTTAAAACTTCTTGAAAAATTGTACCTGCTTATGACGCACACCCCCTTTTTTCTTCTGAAATTTGAGAAAAAAGGTGCGCGTGGTACTTGAGTAAGTATGGTATAATGCACACATAACTTCCTAAGACTTCTTGAAAAATGTGTACCTGCTTATGACATGTACCCCTTTTTTCTTCTGAAATTTTAGAAAAAAGGTCTTCTCAAGGAAATATGGTATGCAGTACAGCTTATTTCTCTGTTTCCCATTTGGAAGTGATTGAATGCGATGGAATGGATTTGCGTTGGGTGGGGAGGGGGTTTGGATGTGGGAATGTTGATTGAACCTTTTGAATGCTGAAAAATGGAAATTAAAGCTTTCTGTTTATTCATTCATTCTCAAAGCCACAGTGAAAAATTAAACCGTCAACACGAAGAATAAATCAAGCCAGTTTTTAATTGGTCAAAACTAACGATTTTCATTTCGAGATCAACGACTTTGTTCAGCAAAATAAAAATAAAAAATGTTTCCCCTCGCATTCAGATCCTTGATTGCATTCAAAAAAAAAAATTCCTCCCTGAATCGTGACCCGTTTTCAATTTTCTCAAAAGCAAGGACATTTTAAAACCATGACATCCTCCTCCAAATGATTTAAATGAAAGATAAATTATAATTTAAATTTCTTTTTGTTAGAGATTTCAACTTGAACGGAATAAAACGTCGCGAAAATGAATGCGAATCATTCGATACTCTTCCCACGATTTTAAAAGTCATATTCCGATGAATTTAGAAGTAATTATCACTTTTTGAACTTTAGGAGTCGCAGTTGAACACTTCTTTCAAGAGAAAAATACCAATCGCCGATTCCTTTGATTTTCAATTCCATCATTGCACTACAAACGAGCACATAATTTAAAGAAAATTCTCAAAGGTTTTGCGAGTCAAACGAAAAACTTAAAATAAATTGCTGAAAATTGTCCTACAGCGTTTCTTTGTCCACAAACGATTTTTTTTGGCATGATTCACAGGACTTTTAAAAATCCCTCTTGAAATAATAATTAATAATTCTCTTCAGACGTATGAGTTTTTTTGTTGTTGTCAATATCCGAGAAGAATGAGTCAAACTGAATCCTCAACAACGTCTTCTTCGTCCACATACGCGATCGGCGGTTCGGAATTGAGAATCTTGAGCCTGGAAATCAAGCCGCCGTCGGACGCCGAGTCGTCCTTGTCGCTAATCGACGACAAGTCATTGAGGGCGTCCATCGGCATGAATTCGTTGGTCGGCGTCGGCGTGGCGGCGTCCGGAAACGGCGTCGACGGGATCCAAAAGTCCGAAATGACCGACGCGTCGTTGAACATGGACCCTGGCACTGCACAGGCATTGAACACGTCGTAGTCGTAGTAGTCGAGCTCCAAATCCTCACCGCCGAGTGACGACTCGGCTCGGATGTCGTCGGAGCTCACCGAGTTCTTCCGACGGTGTCGACGGTGTCGAAGCGGTGTCGAGGTGACACTGCTGGAGGCCGGGTCTTTCATGCTTGTCACTCGGTTCGTATCACAGCTTGTCATTGGTGGTGGTGCTGCTCGCGAACCTAAATTCACAGCAACATTTTGAAAATTTCAAATAAAAATACAGTAATGTACATCAGCATTTCAACTTTGGAAGAAAAAAATTTAAAAATTTCATTTTTTCATATAATCAGCTGCAAAACGTTTCTGTACACGCTGTGTATTTATTGCACTCAAAAAAGTACTCTGAAGTACATTTTCCTGCTGCTGCCAGAAAAACATGGAGTCATCAAAAAATTTGAATAAGTACAGTCAGAGAAATCTCGTAACAAAGACACTTTTGGGACATTGCAAACGCTTCGTTTCATTAAAAGCAAACATTCCTTTCAGCAAAATTAAAATAAACTTTCAGCTTCCCGGAAAGGAGCGAAAAAAATCGTTTGAATCGTTATAATCCTTTATAACGAGATCCTATAACTAAATGTTCAAAAAAATCAACTTCGAATGCATTTCAATTGGCAAGAAAAAGCCTTGCATTTGAATTAACGAATCTTTCGGTTCCAAAGATTTGGCAGGATTAGCCTTAGCATAAAATTACTCTGAATTCCGTGATCGAATAAAATTGAAAGAAATTCTGAAAATTGACATCGAAATTCGTCAGCGAGATTTCAAAGATAGCCTTAAAGTCGTTATAATGGGATCAGTTACATCATCAGTTTGCAACAATTAAAAGGAAAACACTGAATTTATCTCACGAACATCAGCAAGATACAGTGCAAACATTTAATTCCTCCAAGCCGTTTAGAAGATTTGACAGGCAGCAATAAATTTCATCAGATTGCATCGAAAATAAACACTCAAAATTTACGGAATAAACGTCCATCGAAAAACTGTACACACATTTTTATGCCTCGAATCCGTTGAAAAGAGTTGACATGCTCGTGATCAGCAGTCAAAGATAATAATAAACCTCCTGATGATCATATATCAGATGATCATGAAAACACAAAGTTCATTACCAAAACTTCCGCGAGATCTTTGAAGTCGATACCGTAAATTAGCTGAGAAGAGTTGACGGAAATGCCGTCATGAAAGCATCATCATATACAACAGTAATATAATAACCTGATGCCTATCGAAGATTTCGGGAAAGGAAAATAATAAATAAATACTCACGTTGGCGAGCAGATAATTCAACGGAAAACATCTGCCGGAAGTCCGCTAATGGAACCCTCAGGTCCGGGTTAACGTTCTGCACGCTCGACGATTTCCCGTCACCTAATTGATTGGATCCCTTATTCTGCCTCATCCCGGGTGGCCAAGAGAACCCCTTATTGTTGCAGGAACCCGTCCTCATCATGGTCACACGGGTTGTTCCTGCTGCTGCTGCTCGCACAGGGGAATTCGGCACGGAACACAAAAACGACACCTTCTCGAACCGACCCCCGTTCATGAGGAACTCGTACTCTGCCAAAGACGCAGACGTTCTCACGTTCCTCTTGAACTTTTTCCGAAGCAACAATCGGGGAAGGAATCGTTTGGACGACGAAGACGAGGATTCCTCGTTCTCGGGATTCGGGTTGCAGTAGATGTCGGGATTGGGGTTGCAGTGGCCATTGGTGAGCTCATGATGGTCTAACCCGGGTTCTTCCTCGTCTTCTTCTTGCAGAGGGCACAAACTGCCGCGACGCGGAAGCAGGAGTTTGGTGACCCGACGTCGGTATGCTAATGAGTAGCTTGCCATGGAGCAAAAGGCACAACACAGCAGTCCGATGGTCAAAAGCATGACCAATTGGGCCTGGTGATGGACTGCGAATATGATGAGGGCTTCTGGCCAGGTTTGATTCGATGCATTGACGTCTGTGTTTGGCTCAGGTCGAGGAACTGCAAAATTCCGG